TTGAGTATAGCCACTTGTACTTTCCTCCATGGAATATCTGTCTTTTCATCGAATTATTTATCCGAGCCTTTCAAAACAGAAAAAGATCCAGTGTGCTCCTTTAAATGAGTGAGTGGATATTACATCCTTAGCAGTGCTTAAAGCCTCCTCAGAAAGCCTCCATCAGAAGTGGGTTTTCTCTCTGTCCTATTCCCAAAGCGTTGTGCCGCACAAATTAATAGTGCAACTGATTGACGTGTTTACACTAAGCTGCTTATTCTGTGGCCAAATATTTTGAGTATGACTAATGGCCCTGCAAATGCTTACCTTACATCATATGCTTAAAAGGATCGTTTGATACTGTGTCTTTATTTATTTTTTGTCTCATACATATACTTTAGAAATTATGGCTGCCAATACAAAACATACCCAAAATTTCAAATAATGAAGTTGGAATATGTACAAATAATTCTTGTGCTCTAAAAACTCAGGCTTCACTCTGGTCTAAACACTGAGATTCAGACAATCTTTCTTCTATACGATGTCAAACACAGTTCCTAAATATGATCACAGTCATGGCACAATGAAGGTACACTATCTGTCAATTTAAATGTTTTATACAGGGCATAAGTTTTAAAAACTCTACTCGTACTGGTCTAAAAATTAATTCAGTGCCAGGTCAGATCAACAACATATGGCACATTACATCACATAAAGCCATTATTTATTTAGTGTGATTAAACAAACCCCGAGATTAAACAAAACCAGCTTCAGCAGAAATAACTTGAATTGTTTGCTGTGTAACTTTATTAGTCGTTCAATCATTGTGAAGGAATTTTGGCGTGCTCTTTTTTACAGCTTCAGTTTATTGAGGTCATTTGTTTCCCCACAGCTCTCTTAAGGTCCTGGCACAGCACTTAAGTCAGGATGAGGTCTTGACTTTGACCGGACAACTGCAACACCTTGACTATTTCGTTTTTCAGCCATTCTGTTGCCGGTATGCTTGGCATGATTGTCCTGTACCAAAACAAAATATTGCCTAGCTTCAGCTGTCGGACAGATGGCCTCACATTAGACAAAGGAGTTCATGGTCGACTCAGTGACTATGAGGTTGCTGTGGCTGCAGAACAAACCAAAATCGTCACACCTCCAACACCATGCTTGACAACTACTTGATTTAATAAACAGTACATGGCTGCTACTTACCCTCATAACTCCTGTGAAAGCATTAACTTTACTTAGTTTTTCACACTGTCTGGTTTGCGTTCAAATCCTTTGCTTTTGAGAGGCAGCCAGTGTTTCCGCACCTCAGAGATAAATAAGATAAATAAAGATGTGAATAATGCAGAGTTCCTGCAGTTTAGTTCAAGAATAATTCACTTTAATGTTTTACTTTCAGCGCCCTTTTTATCTTTGCCTTTCTTTTATCTATTATTGAAATATTCTCCTCTTGCATGTTTGCTTTCTGTGAGCTGTGTCTTTTTACAAATTCAATAATCACAGAAAAATAATGATATCTTGTTAAATACTTTGTGGCCCAGTCATGGTGTGATCATGAAAACATATGGCTAAAAAAAGATCTCACTTCCTCAAGTTTGCAACACTTACGTTTTTGTCTCTGCTGCTGTACAAAATTGTGCCATCTGGTTTGTTGGCATGTTGGTTTGTTGTACTAGAGATGCAAATACATAAATTTATGAAACTAAGAATCTTGGGTTTTTTTGTCAATTTCTTTCATTCATAACCTACCGGCATATTTGAAGATTTTCAAAAAGTTTTGCACTGAAGGATAAAGTCAGTAACTTGGAGAATGAAAGGGAGATGTCCATTTGGTTCTACAAACTCAAGCAGTCCAGTATGCATACAGCAGATGCTGGGTAGAAAGCCAGTATCTGTTTTACACATCATTATTTCTCTAAAGGCAAAAGTCTCACAAACAACACACCTCTGACATAAAATGGAAAAAACTATGCATTTATATCTCAAGGTCTATGCAGCTGGAAATGTTTAATCGGGTTATCTGCAGTCTAGCTAGCATGCCAACAAAAACCTTCTCGAAATACAGATAAAAGCAGACATTCCTGTTTCTCAGAAGCTCAGAAACACTTCCTGTCGTAAAGTCGCATGCCATACACACGACTATTAAGAGGACTTCACATAGCCTAATGCAAACTGCATAAAAAATTTCAGCAAATTCTCACTCTCATCTTTCAGTTGCCGTTCTCAAGTTTTCTTTGTAGTCTTTTCTCTATTGTTTGTCCTTGCTATCACCTTCTGCTGCATCCTGATCTTCTCCCTTCCATCATCTGCTCGCATCAAGTTTTCCCCCAAACTTTTCTTTCCTTTTGACAGCAGATCAATCAAGTCATTTTTCTGTCTCAGCCCCCTCCCCACTGGGATAACAATGCAACAGGTCTTGCGTCATACCTTCACTGAACGAGGCCAATCTCACCGGTCCTTATGAGGGTAAACTAGAGCTCTCACTCCTGAAATATTAAGGAGTGCATGAGAAGACATTTATGCCTTGTGCCGATGTACTGCAGTGCTTCCTCGGTTTTCATATCTGAAACAGCAACTTTTCACCAAACCCGATACAAATTCAGTTATGAGGAAAATATCATCTCACATGGGTGAGGTCACACAATTATTGAAACAGAAACTATAATCCATAAATTCCGTGTTGGTCCACACACTTTAGAGACGGAGGGTGTTATGAAGATCTTCCCCTGACATTATATACTTCAATAAAACACAGAAACAAATATAAAAATCCACTCCACTCACTTTTAATTTCAAGTATGCCATCTAACATCTTATCCACTCTACTGCAGATACACTGTACGTCACATATAGTTTGGAGAATGAGATGTGAAGCCCCCTGGCAGTCCTCCTCCTCAGGAAGAGTGCTAATGAAGTAGGAGGCCAGTCGGATGAGAGAGTCTTACTCTCCACTTAGGTTCCAAGCAATCAATAAAACACAAAGTGCCACTGTTGCCATCCCCTTACACATCTTTTGCTTTCTGTTCTTGATCCCAATTTTCTTCAGTATTTCTATCCTCTTTAATTGTTTTACTTGTTTTCACTCCCTCTCTCACCTTTATATTTCAATATTTCTGTCCTTGTCACCTCTTAATTCTCTGCTTTCTTCCATTTGCTGTTTTCCCTTCCCCTCGCCATTAGACAGCCAGCAGTGACGGTGCTATAAATCTGTGCTGTAATTAGTATGACACTTGCAGCAGAATTTCATTTCTATTCACAACTAATTTACTTCTCTGTCATTGCAGTGTTTTGACATCTCAAAAGTTTTACTGAGGGATTCTCAGAGTTTGGAAGCAAACAAACTTACTGTCAAGAAACTCTAATCAGAAAGCACCAATGGAAATTTAAAAGAAAAGTGCACGCTCAAAGTACCTTAATACAAACTTAAACGAGGAATCTTATCCATCTCAGACACTTCACTGCCCCTGAGGGCTGCTTACCAAACTGTGAGGCAACAGTGCCCCCTGTAGGTCAACGGTGAATGTGCACCTCAATGATGTTCAGTGAAGTTACACTTTTAACCAGCCTTGTTTTAGCCCCCCAGCTATCTCCTCCCACAAGGGAAATTGTGTAAGTGGATTTAAATAAATTAATACCTCTTCTGCAAAGCCTAGGGAGAACACAGAAGAAAACCACAAAAAAATAAAATAACGTACCGCTGTTGCATTCACAAAGATAAAGCAAAACACATATTTTTTTCTGGCTAACGCCTATAGGGCCGCATTTAAGATGACAGCAATTTGAATATGTCATGCCTAATTCTACGTTCAGACTGAGCCGACATTCTCTAGGGTCTGAATACAAAGCAGTGTGCGAGAAAGACACTTGACTAGTCAGCTGGAACACCACTATCCAGGCTGTGGGGATAATCAGTCTCACCATTCTGAGACAAAAACTGCTTTACAAGAAACCGTTCAAGTGCCCAAAGACCAAAAATCAATTTTTAGTATCTGTGCCAACAAACAAAAGTCGTGTGCACCACTCATAGTCGGCAGAATACATTTCAAGTATTTCTCAAATAAAATAAAATAAAATAAAATAAAATCAACAACATTTCACTAAGTATGTGTTCATGTTTGAGGCTGAGCTTGTTAGGAGAATTAAATCATTAAGACTCAAGAAAATGTTTCAATTAAATCTCAAACTTCAAAGGTTGAAAATCATTTAATGTTAAAAAGACAATGTCTTTTGAGTTCTGATTGCTTCCACTACAGCTACAGAGCTCTACCTCTCCCAGTGGAAAAAGAATAAATGAGTGAGGGAGGCTCATGAGGTCTCAGTTATCAGAGTAAGTACATGGTTTTAGCTAATTGGGATCCAAACAAACTCTGAATAAAAATAAATAGAAACAGGAAAATGCTTTGATAGAAAACAAAAAGTCAAAACAATATGTAGCTCATGCTTCTTGGTGTTTTCCTTTAGAAGAGCAAATATTTAAGGTTAATTAGATTGATGCTTAATTATTTGTCCTACTATTTGTGGGTAAAATTTGCCTATTAAGAATCTTAATGAAGAAACTCACTAGTGACCTCAATAAGGCAGGCGCCGAGACTAAATCATATTCCAACAAAGCTTAGATGCTGGGCATTCAAACAATTCAGTGCTGGTAACAAAACAATGCCCCAACACACTGACCAATTTCAACCACACAATAAGTCTCTCAAGAGAACAAAAGGACCCACGAGGTTTCTGATAACAAGCTCCCTGATCTCTGATCCATACACTACAGTTACCCTGGAGCTAGATGCAAGTCTACCTCTGGGTCAAGACAGAGACCAGAGGGATTAGCAAAAGAAAGAAAGAAAGAAGAAAGAAAGTGTACTTTATTAAAAGAACAGAGAAAGACTGATGGTGCCTCTTAATTGACATTTACAAAGAACAGCTCTGTGATCAAAGTGCACAATAAGTCTTGGAGCAAATAGAATGTTTACAATAGATAAGTAAAGCTATAAGAAAAGCAGACTGTCTGTATGTGTCCATACCTCAGAGTCTTCACCCTGGAGCCCCAGCTGGAGGACAGCACTGGGAGACTTCAGTCTGGCATGGCTGGACTGAGCCATCTGCAGGTTCAACTGCCAGCCAACATACTCCAGCTGAAACACACAAACAGAGTTTTAGAATTAACATAACCGTAAAAATAAAGCCTCACACTTCAGTTTAATAACTGCCTCAGGCAGCTTTTCAAAGACTTAAAAAAGTGTTTTTCCCATAAAATAATTGCTATTTTATTATTACTTCTGCCTCATCCTCATTATCTTGGTACTTTTGACCTGATTTTTTTATTATCCTTCATTTCCTTCTCATTGTTTTTCCCTCTTTTTTTTTTTTTTACTGTTTTATGTTGCCAAAGCACTTATTAGTCAAATTAATCAGCATTGCACTTTTTTTTCCAAAGTAGTTATTACTAATTTAGACTTTTCAATATTTCATCTGTTCGTGTTAACATTTTGCCATATCGCTTTGTTACAATAACAAAGGAAAACTGAAAACTGTTTTATTTGCTGCATGGCCACATTTGTGTAGACTTTTACTTTATCCCTTCATCCAAACTTTTCTCCAACAAAAGTGAAAAAAAAGACGGTCTGCGTGATGTGATGTGAACTTGTAAAACTTGCAGCGTCTCCTTATACCAACCTCACCAATTCCCCCACCTGCTTGGCTGATTTAATGACAGACACTTCACCAGTCAGCTGAAGCAGGGTGATAGATTAGCAGCGGTGAGTCAAGGCGGGGCAGTTAAGTGTTTTATGATGCAGGGAGAGGCCATAATAATAAACCATGTGTGACTTATTGGTTGTGGATGCATCACAGCACAGGTGTGAGGTGGGGAAGGACTGAAATACGTTTATTTATACTGCAGAAACATTCAAATTAGCAGGAATAAACATTACAACTCTGCAGTCGTTGGTCTTTACGTTTCTTTACATGTAAAGGAATAAATCTGAATACATTTAATAAACACCTGCATATTTTATTATCTTGCACAAGATCGGTCAAAAGAAATGAGCATTCTAATAGTACATTACATAGGCATTGCTTTCTAACACATTTCTGCTTTTTCTGCTTGATCGTCGGTCAGTTTGCTCATTTTTAGATAAAAAAAAACAGGGAATGAAAGGAACTGTCCCGACAACCTCACGTGAAGGAAAAATTCTTAATTCTTAATTAAAACAGCAAATAGCCCATTCAATCACACAACAGCCAGTAGCAAGCATAGAGATTAACTTGAGGTCCTGTTCCCACATGTGTGATATTTATATTATTTTGGTATTTAGTTCTCACAACTATTTAGATCGCTGGGGTGATGCGGTCTGTGATTATTTGTAAGACCGTTGCTCGTTTCTGCTGTGCATTCAAAAAACTATTTACTTAATTTGTCAATCATGACACACACACGTATATATTTGACACGAGCACTGAGCTTACAGCTACATCTCGCAGTTATTTTCCTTATTGATTCATCTGCTGATTGTTTTGTCGTTTGCTCTGTAAAATGCCAGAACACAGGGGAAAATGTCATTTATAATTGCCCAAGGTGGGATCTTCAAATGTCAGCTTTTTGTCCAACCAACCAAAGATATTGCATTTACAATTGTGATATTATCAGTGAAGAAAAAAAAGAACCAAGTCCTGATATTCCAGAGGCTGAACTCCACAAATTCTTTGATACGCGCAATTAATTGCTTAATCAAAAGCGATGCCAGTTAACGTTCAGTTGGTTGACTAATACTTGTAGCTTTATTTTTCACACCCAGTTTTGATATTGAGCAAGAAATAAGAAATTTATGGCTTTATGTTCAATGAGCATGTGGCAGAAATGACAAGATGCCTGCTGAATAGAAATGGTGTGTATGAATATGAGACTCAATTTAATCTCAAATGTGCATGTGAGACAAAACATATTAATTTAATTATTACAGTATTAGTATAATTACGACTCTATTCTCAAGGATCAATAGCCGTCACATCCTTCCATGTATAAATTCATTAGGGAGCGAGGGGAAGATTTGCCAGACACGAGCAGGTGAGACATATAAATGTCTGACAACAGCAACGGCCCCAGCATAATGTGACTGATGTGTACATGCTGAGTATTTATTCCGCGTTTGATCTTAATTCCCTCGTCTCTGAAAGGAATGCTGTTTGAAGTGTCGCTCTTTAATCAAGTTATAGAGCGAAACAAGTTTAGAAATTAATGAAACAACTTGTGTGAGCTTTGAAAGAAGTCTTTGTAATCCATATGGCTGGAAAGAATTCACACAAAAGCAGGTCAGTCTTAATGTGGACAGTCTGATGCTTATTTTCAATTCAGTATCACATTATGAATTCAATAGAACTCGGCTCACGAAAAAATAAAATAGAACGGGCGGCTTTGGGTTTCAAAGACATTATAGCAGGTGTAGTCAAAGTTCAGGTATATCAACACTAATAATGTTCCCAAAAAAATATTACACTGTGTACAGTGTTGCTTGCTTTTACTGTTCCTCCACAGACTTACTGCAACTGAAATTTCTCATTTACACCAGCACAGGCACAACTGGTGCATGAATGACAAGAATAACTGGTTTACAAGCACTGTAAACAAGCACTGTAGTTTCTGCATCAGTGGTAAAACTCTTGTTTGGATATATTGTTTGTAAAACATAAATAACAAACTGTAAAGGGTTTGCTGTGTATATTCTGCTAAATAAAAATAAGCAGTCTGATGCTAACGAGGACAAAAAAAAACCTTAGACTGTACCTTCTTCGGGGCAAACAAATTACATTTCAGTTTCTCCACCAGTTCGGGTCCAGTAGTTGCCCAGGTCTGAGAGAACACCTCAGCCTTCTCTGGGGTTAGATGGACCATCTCCAGCTGTTGTTGCAAAGAGGCTGGCTTTACATTATGATACACTGCCTAGTAAAGGTGATGAGAGAAGAGGACAGGATGTGTTAATCAGCATCAAATGTATTCATTTATATCGGGTTATTGTGCAGTTACAGTTATAAAAGAACAATCCATTTAATCTAATACCAAACACAACATTGGAAATACAACTACTCGCAACACAACAGTGACCCCAGGTGGAGAAATAGGCTCACTGTGTGATTCAAAAGCTACAGTACACACTCCATGCCAATCTCCTCATATTAAGATATTTAGAAAATATGCAAAATGTGCATCATCTGAGTCACTTTTTATGTGCACTGCAGGAAAAACAATGTGACCACTCACTTGCTCTAATATAAAGGCAGAAGTTTCCAAGACTAGGTTGAGAGCATTTTTATCCAATGAGAGAGCAGCCTGGAGTTTTTCCTCCTCTTCCTCACTGAACGTCCGCTCTCCCTGTGTAGAAAAAAATCCAATGTAATGTAAAAGCATCCTGAAATAATAACTAAATATATGAATGAAAAGCCACTGTCTGCTTGACAATCAAAACATTTTCAGAATAAGCTTTAAAACACAGTATGTGGGTGTCAGTGTTAATCTGACAAGTCTGACAACAACAAAGGTTTTCCTTGAAAGGAGCTTATATTCATAAGCAACATACAGTATTAATCTCATGTTACTCACACTAATGTTTTGCTGCGCGCAGCTCCTCTGCTGCCACTCGTGAGTGACAGTCAGTTCAGTCAACAAACAGATTTTTATTATAGTTTTATTTTTATTTTGGATATTTTTAAAGCAAAATGTGGAACATTGCAGTATCACAATTACCAAAGTTAAGTCCTTGTCACTCTGCTTTCTTCAACTTATCCAATTCAGGGTCATATAGCAGCTAAAGCCAATGTCCTATTTCAGTAGTCATAGGGTAAGAAAGGAGGTACATCCTAGGTTGCCAGTTTATCAGGGCTAACATTGAGAGACAGAGAGAAAACCATTCACACCAACGGCCAATTTAGAATTGCCAGCTAACCTAACATGAACATGGCTTTGGAGGAATCCAGAGTACCTGGACATAACCCACAAAGCAAGAACGTCACAGGTTTGAATGCTTCTGAGTTTGCAAGTTCTCTCTGGGCCTGTGAGCCAATGGTGCTAACTACTGTACCACTGTGCCACCAGTTAAGTAAATAAAGCCCCTAATCTTTATTTAATGTGGATGGTAGGTCATGGATAGACTGAGGCTTGTAGCAATTGAAATCAGACATGCAAAAGGTTGAAAAACTGCTACTGTATGAATAAAAAACAAAGCATAAACTAACAAGGAGTTAAAATATTCATTCTAATTTCATAAATATCAACAAAACAATTCATGCGCTAGGCTGAATTGCAGCATAAGAACATTAAATAATGTGATCGCCTGTTGATACATGTCAAAATGTCTATTTCATTAAATATTATTATTTTAAAAAGTTGCACTGCCTCCCATTAGCAAGAGTCCCTTGAATAAAACATTTAGTTTGACGAGTCAATCTTGTGACAAACCAGAAAGATTTGCAGATCCAGGTCTGCATGTGCATTAATTAGAGTCAAGTGTGAGCGATGCTCCAGTAAGTCTTTATGCATGCACGACAGCTGTGCTGCAAAGCCTCTCATCTTTGGCACAGATAACATTGTGCAGTCTCCATACCTTCAGATGAAGCTTCTGTATGATGCGGGAGATCAGTCTGGAGAACTTATTCACATCAATTGCATTGATGAAAGTCACTGCTTCTTTTATGCTGTTTAAGAAAAAAATAAGAGTCACACGTGTTAATGACAATGATGTAGGACATTCTCAGATCTCTTAGTTAAGTATCTGAGTTCAGGGCTCAGCATGAAAGATGGTTCTCTCAGACTGTCATTGAATTTCAAAGGTGCTTCTAACTAAAAACATAAAGTCCTGATGGTTTTGTACCAAAGTAGCAGATCTCACAAGGTAAAAAAAGAACATCAGCATCAGTGTGAAGAGTGCATAGCAGCGTAAAATGAGGCTGTGTACTACAGAGTGAATGTAAAATTCTGGGACAATACTAATAATAATGTGTTTTGATTTTATTGTAATTTATTTCATGTTTTTAAGCCAGACAGATGCATGAATCATGCAAAAAAAAAAATAAAATTTAAAGGTCTTTCATTTCTTCATCACTATATTTGAGCATCTAGCTCAAAATTAAAATTATGCACCTACTTCGGTTTACTAGCAACATATCAGTAAATTCACTGGGTACAAAAACAGCATCTTAGAGAGACAGAGACTATCAGAGGTAAAGATTGGCAGAAGTTCACAAATCTCCACAAAGAGAATCTGGAGAAATCTCTGTGCACGAGGGACAATTAAAAACAGGCGTGATTCTGTCATAGAAATCACTGCAATGGCCTCAAGAATACGTCTGTGAATGCAGTTCCCATGCCATCCACAAATGCAGATTAAAGCTCTAGCATATAAGAATTCACATGTGAAGATGATCCCGAAGTGCTGCTATCTTCTCTGCGCCAAAGCTTAATTCAAATCGACTGAGACAAAATGGAAAACTGCTCTGATGAATCCAGGTTTGAAATTCTTTTTGGAAAAACATGGACGCCACATCATCTGGGCTAAGAAGAAAAGGATCAATGAGCTTGTTATCAGCACTAAGGTCAAATGCCTGCTTCCCTGATGGTATGTGTGTGCACATGTGCAC